TTTGCTTCATTTGGAAGATGGGTATCCGAAATTCGTTTCCAGGCGGATGTACATTTCTTACCTTGTTTTGTCTTTTGTTATTTATTATGATTGTTGTTATTCAATGTGTTTGTAATAAATTTAAGAAATAGATGTGAATATACACACATATGTGAAAACTATATAAAGAAAAACAAAAAAAAAAAAAACTATTTATATAAAATTTATGGCATATTAACGGAATTGGAGGAAGGGCGTTATGCTTCACTGAGAAACTAATATCCCCCAATAAAGAAACACACTCACACAATGACGGTATTGCGAAATACAAGGCTTTCTATTCATTTTTCCTTAATTAAGCAGACCATCCCGTCCATTATTTTACAACTCAATGAAGAAATTCATTTAGGAACTTGAACACACATATTCAATAAATTATGATTATATTTTTACAATTTAAATAAAAACAAAGCACATACATATATATATATATATGAATATGGTGAAAAAAGTAGAAAGGAAAAAGGGAAAAAACCAGTTTATAGAAATTTTTTTTCGCAATCGTTGTGTGTCATTTATGATTTATAATAGCATGTGCTATGGAATATATGAATAACTAAACAAATCATTCATTTATTGCCTTTAAATACAACTTGACTGAGTATTGATATCAATTAATTAATTCTTAGCGAAACAAATCTGTTTTGCGAGAGCAATACAATGTTGTTATGTTACAATGTTGCTTTGTAATGTTAGATTAAACGCAGTAGATATGCAAATTTCCCAAGTACATACATACATACATACACGTTACACTTATATGTATTTATTTATTTAAATTCACTATAAGCGAGATGGATTACCTTTGCAAATTTGCATAAACCATTCGTTGATCATAATCATAAACAATTCGTAGACTGTCATAGAGGAAAAAGTTCGTGGAGTTTTTGCCGACTTTTTTTTTGCCAAGTTTTTGCTTTAGACTCGCGTGGCTTTGCTAAAACTAATCCTATTACGAAATGTTACAGTGCAAGTGGTCCATAGGTAATTTGAAAAATTGCATTGAAAACGCTTGAGTTGAGAGTGCGTAATAAGTTGTCGCAAGTCGATCACACGATTGACTCGATTCTTAGCTGTTACCCCCCCCCCGCCCCCCCAACACAACTGACAAAGCATACGATGGATCCGGAAATGTAAAGCAATGATCAGTAAAAAAGTCCCTTCATGATAAAATTTGGAGAGGTTCATTAGTGAGGTCTGCTATCCGGCCACCATTTGTTCCTTCATCGGCAAAATTTTCTACCTAATGTACAGTTGACTCGAAAGGAAGAAGTGCGAAAAGCACTTTTGATCAAGAAATACCAAAATTTCTAGAAAAAAATGGCAAACGTTTATCAATCAGAAAAGCAAATGTAAGCGAATTTTAATAGTAAAAGGCGCCATGAATTTTTTCCTTAATATGAGACATAAGTTCCATGATTTATGCATGCGTGCGAATTTCGGATACCCTTCACCCGCGGTAAATAAACAGTGAAGTGAATGTAGTTGGTTCAGTGATTGATTCATTTAAATGATTCTCATCAATTAGTTTTTTTTAAAGGCGTAGAAGAATTTGGTAAATACTCGCAGTTGTGTAGTAAAATTTTTCAGTATTCATTCCATTTTGACCAGATCAAATAAATTGCTGAATTGGCTATATAATGTGCCGAGTTTACTCGTCTGCTAATAATAAGCGACCGGATAAATCTGAATGAATTCTCTGAACATTATACAAAGTCTATAATGTCGGCTTCCGCATGTCGCAAAGAGAACAATGAAATAAGAATGCTTCATAGGCTTCATAGGCGATAGGCATAGAAATACAAATTTCATGTTCACCTTAGGTGAATAAGCAGCATTTTTGAAAGGCGATAATAATAAGTATGGGCGGACAATAATTAGAAGATAATATTTATTATATTATTGATTACATAGTTTTGCATTTTATTTTAGGCGGGCTTCAAAGAAGATTATTTCTTTTATGATTTGATTGAGTTTACCGAACCTTTAGCATTTTTCTCTTTTGAAGCAAAAGTACGAAACTATAACCCGTTAAAACGCGTCTGTGTCGTTAAGTGCAACGACGCTGCTAAATATTCCTTTAGCGTAGATTAAAGAAAGCTTTTTAATATTATTAAATCGTTAATTGCCCGAAAGAATTGCAAAAATTTCATTAATCAATTGGAATTTTATTAATTAATTTTATTTACTCGCCACAATTACCACTGAAGTCTATGACGATGGGAAAGATTGATAATCGCAATCTAAACGCCGTTTAATATATATAAGCTAAATAGTTTATCCATTTATTAAGTTCATTTGGATATAATGACAGCTAGTAATGCGATGAGTAGCGAGTAACGATATGATCGACTCCCGCTTTAATGCTTTAGGGACTTAAAAAACTAAATGAAATAATTTTTTGAGACTTAAATAACTGGCGGGGAGATGCTGAAAAAGTGACCTAATGTCACTGATCAAACGGTAACGTATTCCCAAGTTTGACCTAAAAAAATGATGAGAAAAAAGTATGTAAATCTTGCTTATGATTACGCTACATGCCAGAGCTTTTCACCGTAATGCACATGTTGAAGCGAAAAATTCATACGAAATACAATGTAAATAAATTTCTCATTATTAATGTTAAGATATATATATATATATGTAGTCGATTTTATCATTCTCTTTAATGATATTTAATTAATCAATTTATTTATTGTCATTGTTTTGTTAATTTTCATTTCAATAGAAGTCTGTAATGATTCTTGTAAACAAAATATTTAAAGCATTAGTTTTAGCTTTAAAGTTAATTTCCCATGAAATGCATGAAATACTTTTTCATTTTCTTTCTTTTTTTTTTGTTAATTAAACAATGATGTAATAATAATAAATTAAATCTTTCACTAAAAGATTTCAAATCATTTGCCATCAGAGATTTATATAATTATTGACATTAAAATGCTTTATTCAAAGGCTGCTTTATGATGGAGTCGCGCTAATCAAACCGCCAACCGGTTACATGAAATTCAATAAATATGTTTCAATTCAAAAAGAAAAAAAAAAAAAATTTTGCATAATTGTAAAAATATATATATATATATATATATATATATATATGCACAAAATGTGAATAATTAACTTTCATTCTGTCTATTTTTGCCTACATACATAAAAAAAAAAGAACAAAATAAAAAAGTTATAAATGTCTTAAGTCGAATTTTGGATACCATTCAATACCATAACTCAAGTAGTTCTTTGTTAGATACGACAACGAGAGGACATCGTGTCATCTTTTTCACCCCATCGTAGTAAATATTCGACAATACACATAATTTACAATTTATTGATAAGAATAAGTTTTAAGATGTTTCCGATGGACATAACCTATCGAGATCATGCTAACTAAATATAGGAGTGGCAACTCTCCATTTCAATATTAGGGATTAAAAAAGTGCTGACAACAGAACACAGTTGGAGATGCCAAAAATCGATTTTCAAAGCTTGGAGAGTTTCAATAGGGAAGGCGGCAGACAGACATGTCTAAATTTCCATATACGCGACCATTAAGTCTGATGGATTGCTAAATCTTGAAATCTTTTACTAGTAAGTTCACTTGAGTAGAGACAATATGGATGGACCGGATTGACTAAATCTTAAAACATTTCGATATAGCATGTACAGAATATCAACTCGCTAGATGGTTGAAAGAAAGACAGGCTGGTAGGCTATATGGCCTAATGGAGTGACGCATCGATAAGCTAGACGCAAGCTTTCAGCGAAATTCTGTAAATTTCATAGAAACTTTCAATTCAATAGACGATATACGAATACACATACGTGTGGACGGATAGACAGACTTGGCGATATCTCTAAAACATCCCTTATCTATTTTTCGGCTTGTGTTAATCTAGATTTCTAGGAAGTGCAAACGATTGTGCTAAACCTAACATACCGATGCAAGTTTTTAATTATTATCGCTCACCAGCATCTGTAACGCTTGAATGAATGGCCAGATGTTACTGTTAATTTAATTGATATACGTTTATGTGCTTATAAAAAAAAGAAAACAGAAAACAGAAAATAGAATGAATAGATTAGATTTACAACAATAAATGAAATATGGGGAATACTACGCTACGCTAGTCTAGTAGTAAATAACAAACAAATGCGGGAAATGCGTCATAGATGCTAAAAATTAGATGACTCGAATTAACAGAACAGCATTTACAAGTAATAACAGTCAAGTATGTCGTGAGGTTTTTCCAATAAAAATTTAAATAAACAAAAAAAAAAAAAAAAAAAACTAAACTAAACTAAACTAAAATTCCCGCAAAACTTGTACAACAGAGTAATACATTCGCGCACACACAAAGTAGAATAAAGAATAGTATTTCGCAGAACTTCCGATAAAAGAACAAGAATAACAGCAACAACAACAACAACAACATCGATGGTAGACAATTTATACCTTTAACATGACAGTAAAATAACTTAATTCTGTGTGTATGTGTGAGGTGTAAACACAATTGCATGTTTATCTATCACTCAGCACAGGTCTCGTGCCTCCTTTCTGTTTTTTTGTGTTTCTTCTTCTTCTTCTTCTTTTTTTTTTTTACACACAAACAAAATGTAAAATTGAAGCAACAAGTTTTCATTATTAAAAATCCAAACTGTATTCGTGAGATAGATTCTCTTTAGTATTAATGCTTTTATCTTAGTCTCTCTTTCTCTCTATATAACTCTCTCTCTATCTCTCTCTGGATGTCACTCTTTCCCTTTGTGCTAAGCTGTATTCTTTTCTTTGCGATATGTACGTACATACGACCTCAGGTTCAATCGGTGTGTGTTCGTTATTTGTTCGGTGATTTTCGTGTATAAAAGTAAGTCTTCGTTTACAATTCCGTTTAGTATTTAACCGCTGTTTAGCTGTTCGCGTCAAGAAAAAAAAACAGTAAATTAAAAGAAAGAGGAGTACAGAAAACAAATTTAAGCAAATATACAAATAAATTTTGAATAAAACAAAATTTTTTAAAAAAACATTTTTTGTGTGCGCTAATGTTAATGCGAGCTTAATAAACAACACCAGTGTTGCAAGAAACTGTTAAATAAAACGAAATAAAAAAAAAAAAAAAATATATATATATATATATATATATATATTAGTCTGGTGTAACAAGTGGTTTCGTGTGTTTCTCAGAAACTTTATTCAAAATAAATTTAAAATAAACGAAACAAAAGGAATTGAATTGGAATTGAATTCAAACTTAAAACGTATGTATTACTAAAATCTGTTTCCTAATAAATAAATTAATTACGAAAAAAAAAAAAGAAAGAAGAGAAAAACATCAAAACAATGAAAATGACTACTTATGGATAACTTAGAAAATTTCTTTGGAAAATTGGTGACTAAGAGTTTTTCATTTACAAGCTAAGCATGCAGACTGCAGAGATGCGTTGCTTTTGTAAACAAGAAAATAAAAAAAAAATAATAAAAAAAAAAAACAATTTAATTTTAAAAGTTTACGAAGCGCATGGCGTTTTTTTTTTTCTTTTGTTGTTTAATTTAAGAAAATTTCAAATAATTGAGAAAAATGCAAAAAAATAAAACAAATGATTAATATAAAGTTATCGCTGGACTTATAAAAACGAACAAATAAATAATTAGATAAGTAAAAGAATATTTTTCTCTCAAGCTTACCAAAAAAAAATAAATCTTTTAAGAAAATGGACTTTAGTTAACTCCCGATGTGATGATCTTCGCTTTAAATTTTGAAAGGACAGGGCTTTATACGTGCGCGTAGTTGTATATGGACTCAGAAGGATTTTATTTCAACTCAACTGAAGCCATAATTAGCCAATGACTAGATTTTTACCTCAGTTTTTATGCAACGCCGCGAAGTAATATAGGCAGAGAACGGAAGGCGGGGGACAAACTCGAAGTTGAAATTCTGATCAGGTGTATGTCTCCATACAGGTCTCATAAACTGGAAATGTAGAGTTGGTATAGAGCATTTCGCTGCGGCTCGAATTAAAGTGAAAGTCATATCAGTCGACAAAGGACAGTAAAAGCCGCACGACGAAGACAGCACTCAATAGCTGTGAGGCTGACTCAGAAGGCAAATATTCGCGAACATATCAACACTTAAAATCTATAGCTTTGTGGAGGCTAAGGAATAGCATCAACTTATGCTCAGATAAAGTGAACTTCTATTTCTGCACTTATTTCAAAGGATTTAAAGGATTAATTAATAGCCAATGCTTTACACACCGAAGTGTGTTAAAAATGTTTTTCAAAAGTTTTTCAGTAAGGAATGAAAACGCCATGTAGTCCACTGTTCGAAATAATGCAGATTTTTTTTTTTCAAGGACCTGCATTGTAGAATCAGGCAGGTCGCTATATTTCCTTTAGAGCGAGAAATCAAACAATTTCTGAAAATATGGGAAAAAGTCTGTGAGCATCCTTGCATCTTTTCGAGCAGTTTATTTTTCTTGTGGCGCAAACTCGGGCTTGGAAAGGAATTTTCATTTTAGAAAATAAAAAAATCTACAGCTAAAAGTTCAAAGCAATCGACAATAAAGTCGTGAAGAACATATTTAATGATTGTAATTAAAAGTTAATTTTGAGGAAACTTTTATTTTATTCTTAAATTTGTGATGCTCGTTTCCAATGATTCATTTAATTGTTTCGCAGAATTGTGTTTTACGCTTAGCACATCTCCCAATGCATACCGTGCAGCTATGCTTCGAAAATTGTCTTTTTGAATCGTTTAAAATTATTTCCTCCTGATAATCGTCTTTTCATAAAATTATCGATTAACGCAGACAAGTTTACTGCAGTAAATGTAATGTTAACATTTTTCTTTTCGTTTTAATTCAGGTAAACTCCGTTTTCTTAGTAATAATAATTAAAACCAGTATTTCTTTCGCCGTCATTTTTTTTTTTATTTAATTCTTGCATCTTAGCAAAGTTGAACAAAAGAGACAATTATTCTCGGATTAAAACGTATCTTATATATATATATGTATATATCTGTAATCTGTGCAAGGCCACATGAAGGATAGCTAACTGCACTGTTTCAGTTCAGAAATGACACATAACGCTGTAATACACATAACGCTGTAATAGAAAATTCCCCTTTGAAAGGGGCGACCCCATATTTAAGAATCGATTTTAAATAGAATGAGTTTTCAGAAATGGAACAATTCTTAGCAACGAGTATCTCAAAACAAAGACGCGAAATGAAAGAAGGCGTTAATGTCTACCTTGTAGTCCAATGAGAGCGCGACCTATCATTCGATTTGCGAAAAGAAAGAAGAAGCACCAAATCCCATGCGTACCTCTTTTCTACCCAAAAATATTTCTCTGAGCGCCCTCAATATCAACGAAAACGTGATAGTAAAAATTAGTAACGAAGGTACCTTCGTCATTTCCCATAGCGCGGATAATCCGAATGCAAAACTCGGCTATAAAACTTACACAAGACTAGCATTTGTAACTTGGCTGCGCTGGGATAAAACACATGATTTCTTTAGTTTCGCATTTTTTTTTTTTTTAGTTATTTATGAATTTATTTTAGTTGAAAAAAAGTCAGGCAAAGCGTGGGTGGATAAGATTTCAAGGACATTATCATAACATCGGCAGCTCTTCATATTCGTTTCACTAATCAAGATGATGTTCCTCTGGTTTCCGTTATTTAAAGCGATTTTATAAACGTTACAAGCGCTTCACAGATTTATTATAACTTCAGCGATGGACATAAAAAGCGGGCGGGATTCCTTGTTTCGTTTACAATCGTTTAATAAATATTTATAAATTAATTTAAATGAGTTAAATGAGTTTAGATTTATGCTTCAAGTTCTAATGTATAAATATTAATGTAATTAAGTTGAAAGCAGGCTCCCCATATACAATCTGTTATATGTAATATTTTCTTCTTAAGAAACACACACACACACATTTGACAATTTTTTGTTCGCTGCTTAAAAACACAGGCGAGAAAAATTACTTAATTTCAACTAATTGCAATAAGTTGTGGCTTTACCTAATTTAATTATATTATTTAAAATGATTGTATATTCAACTAAAGTGTAAATAGTTTAATAAATTGCAATAAAAAGTAAAAGGTTTAAAAAAATCTATATAGAAAGCAAATTAAAATACAAGCAAAACACTTCTACTGTAATAATTAAAATTCTCGAAAAAATTATTGTAACGTAAACGTAACAAAACAATTAAACCCATGATTAAATTCAATGACTAAGCAATAAATCTTAAAATCTTTTTTCAGGTGAGAGAATGATTTCAAAAAAAAAAAAAAAAAAAAAAAAAAAAAAAAAAAAAA